GTCAGTCACTGTTTTTTGTAGGGCCCCAAAACACCCTCAGAATGGGGGTACAGCCGACGGAAGCTATAACAAACACATCCGAACTCGGTTTCTTTTTTGATTTTTTTTTTTTTTTTCAATAAATTAAAAAATATGTAGTCTGATCATAATTTTTTTTTTTTTTTTTTTGGGCAGGTGCCCATTGACATGGACCACACACCTATGTGAAAAAAACACCCCCCTACCAGCCAAAAAAAAAAAAAAAACGGAGTTCCTGCTCTGCGTGAACTCCATGAAGTACGACCGGTCACGTTTTTCACCGGCCCGCGTTCACCGGGGCCGTGAACGGTGAACGGGGGTACGGCACTATTTCAGACACCAAGCATAGTCACGGTGACGTCATTCTGAGTTTGGGCCGTGTTGGTCTTACGAACAACTGACAATGAACGATAAAACAGCAAAATAAAGTCCAACCCATATTTGTATCCCACTCCCGTAAATTGACTTCCACTATCCTACTCGGACCTACTGCTAATAATAAGCATAGATCCACACTTCGAATCACGTTCCATGCACTACTGCAGCTCAGCAATCGCTTCGTTAGCAGTGGGAATGGCCCAGCGGCCAGGACCCAACATTGCCCCAATCATGGATCAAGAGTCTACAACAAGCAAACTACTCTTTTTATCTCATCAACAACTCGTCACTCACATCATTCCGAGTCATCCATCACCCCGTACCGGCCCAGCTAGCAGTTTGCACAGGTTTCCTTTGTCCCGAGTAAAGCTCCGGATTGCCTGACTGAAGAAGTGGCGTTGGGTACTTTCCCATGCGTAATTCCATTTTGAGAGGAATTAACCTCTAACCACCATTTCGTCAAAATGGACTTTTTTTTTGTTTTTTTGAACGAAATTGAAACCGAGTTTTTTTTTGCCCGAAAACTCGTCCAAATTTGCTGCTCCTGAGGGTCCGGCATTCCCTCCTGGATGTATCTGGTCTCAAGCTGAGTCCATTTACATCCAGGGGGTCCAGCATTTTAAGAACGCCGAACCCTCAGGAGCAGCAAATTGGATGAGTTCTCGGCCAAGAAACTCGGTCTCAATTTTGTTCAAATAAATAAAAAAATGTCCATTTTGACGAAATGGCAGTTACTGTAACTGTTGTCTCACTCATGTAAGAGCTCGTCATCGGGTTGTGATGCATTCTATGCAGGGCGATAACAATGACTGCCAGTTTTGCCTTCTTGCATGTCCAAGAATGGAAGTCTTGGGAAATCTTAGCGAAAGGTAAGTACTAAGTTCCAATCCCCCACGCAAATCCTCCTCATTCTTCAGAAGATGGCAGCAACCCAGGAACAGAAACAATTCCGTAACGCTCAGTCCGCATCCAAGGAGCTCCCAATTCTCTCTCCCACTATAGGTCTTCTTCTACAAACCAGTAAATCCGCAATTTGCCGAATTTTTCCCTATGCATTACGACTCGAGCCTCACACAACGCAACAGCTGCAACACACCCTCCGGAACACACGGCTCCCTATGGGATGTCACCAACGGCAGAGCAGAGGCCCACACATTTTTTCTTGTTTTTTGACACTTTCCATTTAATTTACTCGTGTGCTAGTGGAACCGTGGCCCCAGGGTGGGACTGGCCCAGTGGGGCTGCAGGGCACCCCCCTTACCGGACCATGGAATACAAATTGCAAAAGGATTTCTTTTTTTTTGAGCCGTGTCCAGGGAAAAAAGAACTGAGAGAGAGAGAGAGAGAGAGAGAGAGAGAGAGAGAGAGAGAGAGAGAGAGAGAGAGAGAGAGAGGCTCGCACCACGGAATCATGCTGGATGCTTCCTGGACCAGCTGCATTCCGAGTCGGATGAGTTCAACAGGTCGAACGAGTAGACTCCAGAATGCATCCAAAAGGGCTTTTGTTTTCCCATTTTCTCGCCCCCTAAAAAAAAAAAAAAAAAAAAAACATATTGGGAGGTTACCTGAGAGGTGCGCAACCCCCCTCCCAACTGTTATAGCCATAGCTTCATCTTCGTTGATTTTGCAATGGCTATTGTGGTGTCAACGTGATACCTACATATATTTTCAATGACTCTATCAGTGCCGGTGTCTTTCCTCCAGTACGAACAAGACAGCCTCATCAAGAAAGCCAACATTGTATTCTTCTTCTTCTTGTTCTTCTTCTTCTAACGTGGGTATCCCCTGATGTCACGGCATTGTATCTGTTTATTAACAGTTACGTGTGTGACCTTGTCAGCCACATGGACGTCACACTGATTTCGACGAAATGACTGGGACGGTTAGCAATGCGAGCTACGGAAGCTTACCTTATTGATCACGTCTGCGATTACTGCTGCAGAGTAACTCTCAGATGAAGCACTGGAATTGCCATCCGAAAGCAAATTCAACGAAGAGGAGGGCCATTGTCGTAGTTCTTGCTGTGCAGAAGTAGGGTCTTGCTCGCTGAGCTCGTTCACGGCCTGGCTGCCGCCCCCGAACTTGAATGTTGACGGAAGACAAGGATCATGACCACCTTTACCGTGCAGATGCAGATCGCCATCCTGCACAGCTACTGCTGGTGGTGTGGTCGGCGACTGCTGCACAGCCTGCACTCTCTGCAGCACTCGTCGCCCGCATGTCCTTGGAAGAGCGGTGTTGAAACAGCTGCGGCTGGCCAAAATCTCAGAGCAGCATCTCCGCTGCAGCTGCAGTGCCCGAAATTTGAAATCTACGCTCATTCGTGGCATTCGAACTTCTGTCCGGTCGGTGGCCGCAGGTGCATTCCGCATGTCACTAAACGTTGACCTCCGGACACTGGCGATTGCAAGATTGGCGGTCATCTCACAAACTCGGCGAGTTGTGCAGTTCTTATCAAAATAGAAAGCCTCATCGGTCAGCAGCCCCCTCCTTCCCTCCCTCTCTCCATCAATCATCATCATCAAATTCAGAGATGGAGAATGCACTCCTTTTCCAATCTCCTGTCCAGCATGCCCAGCTCCCTTCATTGTCACCTGAACAAGAGAGGTAACCTTCGCCATCGACATAGCCATCTTCGCAACGCAGGGACTCTCTCTCTCTCTCTCTCTCTCTCTCTCTCTCCTGTCTCTTATACACATCTAGATGTGTATAAGAGACAGAGTGGACCCAGCTCCTGGCGCACCAAGGGGACGTG